CTTCGGTGACGTCGACAGTACTGAACTTCTTCGGTGACGTCGACAGGACCGAACTTTTTCGGTGACGTCACAAGGACCGAACATCTCATTGAGAACACATGAGGAATTATTTTCTCACATGACGTAATAAGCACAAGTGACGTCACACATGACGAAATAAGCTTTACTAGCAAACACCGTTTTTATCCCTCATAAATACAGGGAACAAAGCAACAAGCTACCGCGTCATACAGCACGGTAAACACTTCCAGTGGAAGTGCAGCAAAGCAACAACACTATAGCAGTAAGTAAAACAAATCAAAATTTCATTTCATTTATATAAATAAGTACAAAAGACCGGCCGGGGGGAGGGGGGAGGGGGGGGTGAAGTGCGCGCTTTCCCACAGAACCTATATAGAGTCTTTAGTAATAATCCACTAACACCCACACACCAACACACACTTCTGAAAATGCCAACAGCAACCAGAACAAGCGTGTACAATGGGGGGTAAGGTAGTGAAGGCGGTAGTGAAGGCGCAGGTGTCGTGGGAGTCAGCCCAATGGGGGAGGCAAGCCCAGGCAGTAGTTCGGGTCAGCCTACACCGGCGGGGGTACCCATCGCAGCGTCAGCAATGTGTCTAGAAATAGACCAGAGTATCTGTCAATGCAATCTTGTTCTGATGAGTCGGTTTGTGTCTAAATTGGAACAGACAGCACCGGTGCCCATACCAACTCTGAACAATATGAGGGTAGGCATACATAATCAACAGCCAGAGCGTCGCATGCCACTAGTGGATGCGGAGCTCAGACGACGATATGACCAAGCGATCAACAATTGTGATGATGATGAAGAGGACAAACTCATACAAAGTAGTCTGTACATTAGTGAGCTAGAGCTCATGCGCTCTCGGTTAGGGGATCAGATAAATGAACCGTCTCTTGAGAAATTACTCAAGACTTCGGAATTTCCCAAGAGGACTAAAGATAGTTTCTTTAGTTTGGAAAACTGTGAAGATATCACAGAGTTCACTACACAATGTAGTTATCTGTTCTTAGCTACGTCAATGCCATTGTGTCAGTATCCAGCGCAAGTGAGAAGATTATTAGATTCCACTGATGCAACGGAGAAAACCAAAGCAGTACTCAATAACATAAGAGACTCTGAGACACAAACGACTAGTCACTTCACTAATCCTGAGCAGTTCAATAGAATCATTCTTGATCGACTCAGATCACACCCAGTAGACTATATATTGAAGAAGTTTCTCAATGACATGCAGAATAAGAAGATGAACGTCGAAGTGCGCACAGAGCGTGTGCACAAGACAATGGCGATGTTAGAGGAGCGTTACCGCAACTCAGACAAGGAACCCATACACTTCCAAATCCTCCAAGTACAAAGGTACCTAGCACTTAAGTACTATGGACTACAATCAGTAGTGGATCTCCTAATCAAAGGAGACTAGCAACCTGATGGAAGTGAAGGACACCTGTCTGACATAGAGCATACCAAGTTTCATACTATGACTGAGACACACATATGAACGGCGTCTGTAACACAAGGAGAGCGTATGTTGAGAGATCAAGCGCGAGCTGCAAATAAGCGCAATAATGCACAGACGAACACGCAAGTGGAGGATAACTCCACGAACGCCAACAAACGTCACAAAACAGACAATGGTTTACAAAACCAGAACAAGCAAGGGGAGCAGACACGGAAAAAGAAAGAAGCACGTGAAGAACGTGCATGCCCCTACTGCCTGGTAATGCCATACCCACATCGGTACAGCGAATGTCCCGATAAGAAAGCAGTCCAAGCCAAGAAGGCCGAGCAGCGAGCCAAGAAAGATGTACAGATAGCAAGACTGTCCATTACATCTGGCAAGGCGGAAGACATCACGGAGGGTGATGAGCACTGAAAACACTGGTGGGCGGAAGCGAACATGATTGATTTGGCTGACAGACTCTATGTATTTACAGATGAAGAAACGTTATTAATAAATACAAATGATATAAATTATTAACCTTTATCTATACTTCCCGCACCACGAGACCAACGTTTACACATTGCTATACAAATAAATGGCAATACATACAATGCACTAGTAGACTCAGGGGCACAACGCTCATGCATGGACAAAAGTGTAGTTTCAGAACTATATATGTCTGTTAGAGCGCAACCTGGGTATATACAACGAGCACAAACAGATGCAATAATACAACGCACTGGATCAACAGAAGTTTCATTAACTATGGAGGGAGGAAGACCTCTCAGTGCTTTGAAGTATTGCACTTACCAGACAAAAAGACACCAATACTTCTAGCTATGGACATTCTACCATACATAGGTATATACATAGCAGGGTTAATCAACCCACTCATACCAACAGATGCAAAATGTGAATCACTCCTCACATCACATGAAGAAGACTTAGAGCATGAACAAGAAGGTTTCAGAGAGTCATTTACAGACCTCCTGGATACCAATGCGAATATACCTCCTGATGTTCATTGTCACGGTACCTGCAAATGAAATCAGCGTCAGACAAACGAGGCACGCTAAA